TGCTGATGTAGAAAATCGCGCACAAATGGCATACGCCCTGGCATCTTTCTTTGTCCCCCCTCTCCCAAGGTCAGGGCCAAAGCGTAAAATCCTCTGCCACTCCTTGCCATGCCTACGGAGGGGAGCTGGCTCGTGGTTTGTTCAGCCATCTGCGGCCCACAAGCAATTACCTCTTGACTCACTGTGTTGGGTCAAGCGTGATGAGCGGCCAGGGCTGCAGGGCGACCTGAGCTGTCAGCCATGTGAAGCTGCGAGCCTGTGGGGACTGCGCATGTTGACATTTCGGGGTGTCCCTGGGGTTTGAGTGCTGGCCCAGCACTGTCCTGCCACAGCCACAACCACCGTCTCCTCCTGCATCTTTGAAAGGGATCCGATAACTCCTTCCTAACTAGAAAAAACAGCGTTGCACACTAGTGAACCATGTCAGTGCAAAAAATTCAGGGGAAGGGGATACCGCCAGTGCAGCAAACACCCTTTTTCCGTGTCTGCCCTTCCCTGTCCTCCCGACTCCCTCGTCCAGCTGGCAGGTGCTGCCTTGCGGTGCCTCAGCCGGGCAGGCTGGCTCGCGGGCAGGGTTATCTTTGTTCCTTATGCTTGCCCCTTGGCTAAGCAAAGGTCATGGTCGAAAGTTAGTATGAATGGCAATGCAGGGGTAGTGTGTGGGCCCAGGAGAGGAATGAGTCCTGCTGCCGTTTCCTTATAAAGCAAAAAGAAAAGTGTCTAAATTCAATACTGATAAATGCAATGATGTTCATTGCAAAGAGAGCGGAGCGGTGTGAATCCGGAGACTGCTGCGTATGTGGCTGATTGCAATCTGACTGACAAAGTGAATTTAAAGATGATATTAATAGTGACGCCTATAATGAAAGTTTCACTGTATTTTATCATACGTCCCTGTTTTGGGTCGCTCGCACTATTGCTGCAGTTCTGTCATCTGGATTGTGTATTCCATGCCTGCGTCTATTTCTGTTCAGTTTTGTGGGAAAAGTTAAGCTGAAACAGATCAGCTGTTTCTTACTAATCTCTCATCAGCAAGATTTATCATTACTGTGGTCTGCCACAGGGATCAGAAATTAGGTGAGAAGGTCGTGTTAGCATCATGGATGTGATTTTAGCTGTCATCATGAAAATCCTTTCACATTTGGACAAACTCTGAGTTATTGAAAAATGTGTTTTACATGTT